AGCAGACAATCAAACGAAAGAAATCAGTATATAAATTGATTCTCTACTACGAACTTGAACTATTTATTCATTTCATTAAGGTAATAAATAAAATATTACAACGACGTTTATCTGAAGGTCAAGTTTTCTATGTTACATTTCCAAGTGGTTTTGTGATACATCTTATTTGTTCGCTTACAGTTTACTAATTATTACACTTCACTAGTCTTCAATATCGATTTTTCTTCATCGGTACCCATCTTTCATCATATAGCGATATGTAGACTTCTTGCTCTGCAAAACATATATCTGTTGTTTACTTTTACGTTTTTAAGAGTATGTATAAAAAGACTCAAATTACATCATACATATATTATATCGTTTTGAATTTTTGCAAAAGACAAAGCATTTATTCTTTATTTCTTTGCATAGACTTATCAATGTAGGATCATACTTTCTTCCTTTTGCCACAGTAAAAAAACCATAATGAGATAAGTAGACATCTCAAACAAATTTTTCTCACGAGTAATCATTAACCAAGAATATATTTCGAACATTTCTTCTCGAATAAAATGATATTTCAATTTTTCTATACAAGAAACAAAAAAATAAGATAAATTCAGAAAAATTAATAGAACAAAAACAAAATTTCGTTGATCAACGTCTCCGCCGAATGGGGTTTGTCATACAATGCATACCGCCACAGCCTTCTATTAAACCTTCAGTTGGAATCAAGCCAACTTTACAAGCATTGTTCTGGATCATTTGAGCAACAATACCTTTTTCTAAATCACCACCTGCATAAGTTACAACATGACAATCATCAAGTGCTAATACATTATGACGACATTTTTGTTGTTCTATAATAGATGTTTGTTCATCTTCAGCATCATAAAATATTAATTCAGGATCATTGAGTAACTCTCGAAGTGCTTGACGAATATCAAATCCATGTGAAACCCATATTGGTTTAGGAAGCATATTGTTATTAAGATCATGAGTTTCCACTGTAAATACTTCCATTTTATTTGCTAATAAACTATGTAAAGTAAACGCATGTTTACCAATTGTAGAAATAATAGTATCAAGATGCATATAATCACGTTGTGGTGGTATAGCAATAGCAATAACTTTATGGAAAAGATCTGTACGTGCAAGTGTTTCAATACCATTTCGATTTGTTCGTTCACTACAACCAATGAGCAAAATTCCTTCACCAATATACGCTACATCACCACCTTCAATGGTTGAATATTCATGATTATTGTTATCTGTTTCCCATTCAACAATATTCAAACCAGAGGCTGATAATTGTGGATGATATTGAAAAATGACACGCATAATAAGAGGTTCATTTTGTCGAGCTGGTTTAGCCATATGCCAAATAAAAACATTTTTTTCAATGATTGAAAAAGCATCACGTGTAAATAAAAGATTAGGTAATGGTGGAACAATAAATTCATCATTTTGATCAAACGTTTTCAAAAGAGTGTTAGCATAATTTGAGTTTCCTAATTCATTTTTTGTACACGCTACACCAGTTATAACATTTTCAACTAATTGTTCAGGTGTGCGTTCTAATAACCATTGAAGAAGAGAAATTAATAATTCTTGATTTTTTTTATTTATATTAAATAAAGTATTTTCAATAATTCCTTTAATCAATGTATGACGAGCTTTCATACTATAATTAAGTGTTTCAAGTAGAAGTGGTTTTACATAAAGTACTTGTGTATCATGATTACGTAAATAATTTGCAAAATTATCATGTGACTTGTGTGTTTCATTAATATTTGGAATTTCATCATAGAGCAATTTTTGAAGATTTTTTTGTGTCAGTCGATTCAGTTCATTACCTGGTCGATGCATAAGAGTTATATCCAATTTACCACTTTCAGATTCATTGCCCATATCGAATTTCGAAAACATGTTTGTAGATTTGAATTAATCGAGAGAGATATAAGATTTCTTGTTATTTGATTGTTTTTGTTTAAAATGTGATATGCTATGGAATAACTGAGCTTTTATACTGTTACAATAATGATAACAAGAAATTTTCCAAGATAATTTTTTCTACATTGATAAAATTTGCGTATTGTCTTTTAGTATTTCGTTGTTCTATGTTGGGAAGTGTATGATGCAAATCAATATTACTCACATGTCTGTGTTGCATTACATCACATAACTATATTTAATGCGTAGTTGATGGTACAAAAATGAATAATCAAATGTTACTCAATATCCACAACTCTCGCAAAAATAAACTTATCTCTCTTGAAGACACACCTACTCTTAAACCAACATAACATTTAGGTAAGAAAGAAATATGATACGTTATGAGTAATTTAAACTTACTATATAGAACGCATACAAAATGACGTTTAATTGTTGATGAATCACGTATATTTTTGGTGAAAGTATTGTATCTTCTGTTAAATGACTTTCAAAAGACAGATGTCGAAGAATAAAAATAAACTTTAATTTATTTAGTTTAATTATGATTGTTCAGGATCTGTTTAATATGTGTGATGATATCATATATTCATCGTTTTTCTTGCACTTCTGTGTTACGTGCGTATCCAATCAATACATGGATTTGCTCTTTTCAATCAAATATGATAGTGATTTTCTCTATTGTTGTTGTAAATTTGTAGGTTTGTTTGAACGTGAGCTCAGTTTTTATTTGTTCAATGAAACTAACCGGAATACATTTAGAAGAGAAGAGTGCAAGAAGAACAACGTAGCGAGAAAACAAGACAGCGAAGCAGAACATATATATCTACATATAATATATATGTATAACATGTAAGGAAGAGAAAAACCTATACATGACGTACATGAACAGAATGGGAAAATACTACTGTTGTATGTCTAAGAGGGAAAAAGCGTATTTCTAACTATTTCTGTATTTCAGAGATATCTGAAAATACTTACGAGGGAACCTCCCCAAGTGATACTCTCGGCTTGGACTCATATTTTCCCTGTAGGTAGGACTCATAGCGTAGGTAAGTGCCCTAAAAGGGTTTGTGCCCATAGCCTGTTGTTGTTGAGATATTAAGTTTTTGAGGTATTGAAATAACTCACTACCGTGGCCCCCTCCCTCAGGAACATGAGAAAAACTCATTTGAAAACTTCGACTTGAAACTTTGTATAGAGAGAGGTCTTAATGAGAGTTGTTTATTGTAAAAGTTTCAGACCTATTCCTTGTTCCAATCCTAAGATACGGCTATGGTAACCTATGTCACTTGCAGAGGCAAGTTTTGGTGTTCGTATTTCCGATTAGGAGCATTCAGCAAAGCTGAAACTTTCACAATAAACCACTCTCATTGAGACCTCTCTCTATACAAAGTTTCAAGTCGAAATTTTCAAATGAGTTTTTCTCATGTTCCTGAGGGAGACCACGGTAGTGAGTTATTCTAATACCTCACAAACATAATATCCCAACAACAACAGGCTATGGGCACAAACCCTTTTAGGGCTTTTACCTAGGCTATGAGTCCTGCCTATAGGCAAAATATGAGTCCAAATCGAGAGTATCACTTGGGGAGGTTCCCTCGTTAGAAATCTTTGAAAGGATACAGAGATTTCTGAGTATTCACAAGGATTTCTACGTATTTCTAGATATTTCTACGTACTATGGATAGAAATACTTGAAAATACATAGAAATACGAAAGTACAGAAATACGGTTCGCCCTCCCCCTAGATGTCCTATCACTTGTAGAGAAGTATCCAATATGTATATTGGAAAATACCAACAGTTGTCATCCTATATATATAAACAGACATCTTCTAGCCTGAGAATTCTGGTGCTCTCTTATTCTCCTTTTACAAGGTTATACAAAGTTTATAATGACCAGCAAATCTATTGGTATATTCAGGAACTATTGGGTAATGAATGATTTGGCAAGAAGCCTGTATTGAGCAGTGGGCATTCATAAGCAAATCAAAAGTCCATTTCAGTTTATTTGTTTTCAAAACCTGCTATTTTTATATAAGTTAATATATGCTGAAGAGATATCTACATCATGATTAGCTAATAGCGAGCGTTCTCACTTTTTTCATACTATTTCTCAAATGTATTTTATTAACTTTATAATACCTAATCATCTTTGTGTATTTTCGGTAATCTTGGGATCAGGTAGATGGAAGAAAGAGATAGAACCTACTAATCACATAATCATTATTACGACCGAATCACTTATATCAGCCGAGTCACCTCTTTTCCGAGTTAATTGCCGGGTAATTCTTTCGACAATCCTTTCAGAAAGCAAGTATTGTCAGTACACATTAAATAGCGTAGTTCATTATAGAGCTGAAAAATGAAATGTTCATAATACTCTTCTTATAGCTCTATAACGTCTCACTGGAGAGTCATTATATCAGAAATCAGATTTAAATGTATGCACGATAAAGCATAGTAGTTTCACTAGAGAGAAACACCGAAACGAGCGAATTCTATGTACTTCAAACAGCAGCTATGCTCCTGTATGTTATAAAAATTAGAGGAGGTTTTTTTAAGAAGCAGGAATGTTTGTAATGAGGCATAATGATATGTTCAAACTTTGCATTTATACTTCATACGACTATATAAAAAGGTTATAAATGAACAAACCTTACTTTTGAAGATGACTATCAGCCGCTATAAACGTTCCATGTGCAATTTTGTATAAGTAACAAGGATTGCCCGTTCACATCTTTTATTCTTATTGATTGACTCATACGAGAAAGAATTATGTAAGGATTGGCTATATTAAGACACTGAAACAAGACGCAGATAAGTAGATACGGAATTTTAGAAAATATCGGCATCATCAAATCCTCGAATTATTAAATCGTGGAAAAAAGAGTCTTGAGATTATCACCTGAGACCACAAAGAGAGAGAATTTAATATGACAAAAAGTTGATTTTGTGATTAAATTCTTCTGAATGCTGGAAGTAAACAATATTATTGTGACTTGAAAATCGCATATTTCAACACTTTCTTACTCTTTTCTATTAGGCAAAGATGCTTGAAAGAGTTACAAGCATACATTTCAACATTGTTATGATCTACATCTTCTTCAGATCAGATCGTAAGAGTTTCCTTATTAACTATATAATTGTACATATATGTCAAAGTTCGTCTCTTTTTCTTTTGTTGTTGGTCATCAGTCATGGATTTTCTTTTTTTTTCTCATCATCTATGGACTTTTTCATGGTCTGTTTTTTCTCTTTCTGTTGTCACTAATGTATAGTCGTTACATTATTGTGACAAGGCATTGACATATAGAGATTTATACAAAAATAAATTACAAGTGAGATTAACATCTGAAAGACTTGTATAAACGTTGTTTTTCTCATTGTTGTGAGTCTGAATCATTGATTCGAAAAAACAAAAGTTAATAATTCAACACTATAAATCAGTTTCAGAAAAAAATGATGATTATCTAAGGTAAGAAAGTTTAACAAGTGATCTTAATTCATATCAATCTCTTAATAAACTTGCTAGAAAAAGAATATGTGTTCCTGTTGTATTAACGACAGTTGAATATATGTTTTCTGTAAGCGATCCTTTTAAGAGACTGGATAGTTCAAATTCTTCACGAGTTAATATTTACATCTTAACTGCAATAACACATTAATTTACATGTTAATAAATATGTTTTGCTCATAAATAATTCAACATTTAGATTTTTGTTTATAAACACTGACGTTTTTTATTCTACTATCTTGTAACACGTTATGATAGAGAGCGATTGACTTTACTGTCCTTACTTTGTTGATAAGGCTATAGTATTTTGTGTCATTTTATTTTATGTAAAACTGTTTTTATTTTGTTTTTGTTCATAAAAACCAAGAACAAGATATTGTGTCATAAAAAGCTTGTTACTAATATTCATAATAGAAATAAATAGAAAACGAAAAACTGACAAAAACAACTTGATTCGCCCAACTCTGCATTAAGTTCATGAAGATTTCTGGAGTTGAGCAATAGCCAAATTGCTTCACATCTAGCTATATCAATAAACAAAAAATATGCATGTTGATTTCATTACAGTATTCTCAAAAGGTACTTAAACTTTAATTCTTAAGTCTCATAGTTGGACCACCAACAGGACATATTGAATTCTGATTGCAAAGATTTGATAGATCTTCATTCAGAGAAGCTAGAAGGTTAAGATAGATTTTTTCTTCAGACACAATAAAAGTTCTATGGCAAACAGTTTTAGTTTGCTTGATTTATGACGTATTCTTTGGATAATCCGTAAATGAGAGTTTATGAGAATCATTAAAAGACCCTTATCTTCCGCTAAAGCATGTTTTGGAACAGTCAATATCATTTATTTAGGATCTACTTTGAAATGTATTTCTATCTGTGTGTTCTGAAGAATTCTATCACATTTTTTTTTGTAACAATAAGCAAATCTTCGAATGGCACTAAAATGTATTGTGTAAAAAACAGCTTGAAATCACTGCAGCAGAAGAAACTGATTTCATAATATTTTTGGATGATCTTCTATGCGTTCCATTGTATTTTGATGTTTCTGTTTTGTTAGATTCGTCGTTTAATTCTTCACAAATCTGATAGTAAACAGTACAAGATTGTTTTAGATACCATGATGAGAAATTTAGAAAAAACAAAAATAAACGAAATATCGGTAACATTTGAATGTGAAAATCATGACGAGTTTATACAAGTTTTTTTTAACTTTATACAAAATGATGACTACTAAAATATTCGGAACAGAGATGTTCACAGGTTGACCCGTTTTGACCCGACCCGGTTAACCCGTCAACCCGACCCGTAACCCGTACCCGGGTTAGACCTATGACGGGTCATGGGTTTGCGGGTTAGATATTTGCACTGGTTTACGCGCTCACGGGTCAGGTTTATCGTTTTACATGTAACCCGCGGGTTAACCCGTTCACAAACTTTGCCTGTCATTTCTTTTCATTCTTCATTCTTTCGTTTCACAGATAGTTACGCTCAGCATTCATTCTATTCCTTCGTTCCTCTACTGTTTTAGTTCTTTTTATTACTTCTTTGGTTCTTTAACATGTGAAGTCTTTCTTCCATTGCCCTCACTACATCTTCATTCTAGTTATTCACCCACTTGTTTCGAAGCATGCACTAATAACAGACGATTCCGATCGCAACAACATTATGTTGTCAATTCCGACACGATTCGATTTCGACAGTCAACAATTTTGAAATTGGTAACACTTTCATAAAAGATTATGCAATTTTTTTCTCTGCATCTTAACAAACAGTTGAACTAGCGATTTAGAAACATATATAAACAAACATTTGATAAACAGCAAAAGAAGACACTTCCAGCTCTGTTTAGCATCAAATACGTTTAATTCAAAGGTTAGCGTGAATACTTTATAATTACTTGTTAATCAAGGAATAAGCCGTTTCAAATTGGAATCGGAACTGATGATTCTGATTCTGATCCCAAAAACATTTCATATTGCTGATTCCGATGCCCAATAAAGTCAACTTTGCCGACCCCTAGCGTGTACACGTATATGTGCGTTTTTTTTAAGCTTGATGATGGAAATACAAGATAACATCGACATGTTTTCCGTCCATTTATTTTATCATTTTTTTCATGCATTTTTTTCTGATAATTTGTACGATAAAAATGTTCATCCGGTCTTATGAATATCAGTCTTCACATCACAGTTTAGCCAACTCATGAGTGATTTTTTTAAACAATTTATATTGTCAAAATTCACGTTTCTAAAATGTGTATTAACCCGCGGGCCAACCAGCGAGTAACCCGTGACGGGTTGATAAGTGTTCAACCCGTGGAGTAACCTGCGGGTCCAAAGAAACATTATTCAACCCGTGAGATGGGCCGGGTTCGATCACGAATGGGTCGGGTTAGCGGGTCGGGTCAAAAAAAAAACCTGTCATGAACATCTCTGATTCGGAATACTACCGATATGAATACGTCAAAGTCCTTGTATATCTTTTCCGCATAAATGATGAACAGCGACATCGAACACAACAGAAAAAAACATCGATTTAAAAAACCTAAAGCTCAACAGTTTATAGCAGAAACATCCGAAAGTGTCAAAAAAAACCTTTGTTGGGTCCTAGAGAAAAATCAGTGTTTTATTATGAATCATTTGCATGATATTTTATCAACGACCTCAGGTTGCTACTTGCGATCATAGTTTATCGAGTCTTATTGGTAATCATAATGACACGCAAAATAACTGAAATTTATATAGTTTTTACTTGGTAGGACGTTCAATGTCTATGAGCGACATCTAATTGAAATTGAATGTATGTTGTTGTCCTTGACACCAATGGACTGATGGAAATCTGTGGATACAAACTTTTGAGTGACTAGTTTGATCGATCGATCAATACATGTTCTTTTTTTTCTCGTATTCAGTCGAACGATTTTGAGGTTTGTTGTCAAACATTCTTTTCTACTTTCTTTTGCTGATTTACTAGTTTTATTTAAAGATAAAAATGTCATCATCGAGTAATGGCACTGCTAGTGTTGAAGTATGAATTTTTATTGAAGTAATTTGATGTTACAAAATCTTTTCTTTTATAGTCACTTGCTGAAGTATTTCGTTGTTTCATTTGTATGGAAAAATTACGTGATGCTCGTCTTTGTCCACATTGTTCAAAATTATGTTGTTATCCATGTATTCGAGTAAATGCTGTCGTATTTGAAATTCATATAAATCTATTTCTATATACATTTGAATAGAGATGGCTTACAGATCAACGTCAACAATGTCCACATTGTCGAGCAACACTTCGTTTACATGACCTTGTTAATTGTCGATGGGCTGAAGAAGTAACAAGTCAACTTGATAGTTTAAAAGTTAATGAAATGAGTAAACAAAAACGTGAAGAAAAAGACAAGTTAGTTATATGAATTATTTAAAAGAAAACAAAAACTATTATTCTATTTAGATGTGATATACATCGAGAAAAATTAAGTGTATTTTGTTCATCATGTTCAAAATGTATTTGTCATCAATGTGCTTTATTCAATGGTTCAGTTAGTATTAAAAATTCTTATTTAATATCGAATATTATAATATTTTATTTATTAGCATGCTGGTCATAATTTCCTTCCACTCGATGATGTTTATCAAGCAAATATATCAGCTGTTAATGAACATGTCGGACAATTAAAACGACGTCATGTTGAACTTATTTGTTTAATACAAGATGTTGTATGTATTATTGAAAAAAAAAATACCGAACAGAATAAAAACCACGGCAATAAAATTTTTATTTTATTTTTTTTCAATAGGAACGAAATGTTGAAAGTGTTAAAGCAGCAAAAGATGAAAGACTACGAGAAACACGAAATGCTATGCATGTTATGCAAGCAAAACTTGATGAACAACTTAAAATTAAATTAGATGCTTTAAATGGTATGAATTTAGAAAAAAAAAACAGAAAGTCGTGTTACTTATATAATAAGAGTATTAAGAAACGTATTTGAGAAATGTTTGAATATCAAAGAAAAATTTTGCTACTTATCATCGATTTAATCCGATTATGTAGTATTTCATTCTTTATACATACGACTAGATGGATTAGACTATGTGTATTATGTCTAAATCTGATTAAAAAAGTCCTTCAACGTCTAATGAGAGAATATACACAACTGTTCGGCTTTGTATTATGACTACGACAAGGACTCGACGAGGCTAAAAAAACGCTAAAAATTCATAGTCTACTGATGAAGAGATATGAACGTTTTAATAAAATGATGCTTATAGGCACGTATGATAGTTCTGAAAGTTTCAATGAAAATGAACATAATATAGTCAATTTTCGCTCGTGTTCGTTAAAACTATCGAATGCTCTTATAGGTAAAATTTCCTTGCGGAGAAATTCTTTTCAGAAAAGCTTTTCTGTTAGTAAAAATTTTCATTAGTAGACTATGGATCCAAATTTTTTTATACTTGTCGTAGTCTCATCTAGAACTATTCATAGCTATAAGTTTCAATCGGAGAGATTTCAAATGTTGTTTACAAAATATCTGATCAACCATAATTCAATAAAAATTGAAATAAAAATTATAATTTTAAAAGTAGTATGCGCTGATTACAGAGCTTTGGATCCACGTTTTTGTGAAGTCAGATCTGAGCTTTTTTTTCGTCAATATCTAACACCCTCTGGGTCAACGGTGAAAAAGCGAGACTCCTGTACTCCAACGTTGGAGTCTCGCTTTCTCTCCCTTGCTCTGGGGGCATGACTAATTGAAGGATCAAGGATTTTGCTATTTAATGACTATTCTTAGAAAGAAAAAGTCAATGTACTATTATTTCTTGTTGTTTACTTTCAAATCACTTGATGCTTGATAAATTAAAAGTTTCCGCTTAGTTGATAAGAGTGTTATACTTAAGAAAAAAGGAAATTGAATAGTTAATTGATAAACAAAATTTATCGTTGAAAATTGTGAAATCAATAGTAACACCGAAATATTCAACTTTATGGAATAGTTTTAGTTGTATTTATATAAATTTTCATTGATATTAAGAAAAAAATTCTCGTCTTATATTCTTATTCTAAAAATGATTATATTATTAATATTTTGCTTTCGCATAGCGATACCAAAAGAGTCATTGATGAAATAAGAGTGGGGAACGATTTGATAAAAATTCTATCTGAAGCCTTCCATAAATCTAATATATTTCAGCGAAGAAAACGTCGTAGAGAGCTCGGAGAACGTCTCATTTTGTAGAAAATGATATACTCTACCATTTCTAGTGCTATGAGCAAGTTTAATGTTCAAATTTTAGACACTGAAAAACTAAAAGTTTGTTTTTCATGGAAAATTCTTAGTGACTACTCTGTTTTCTACAATCTCTTTTCTATCTAGCTTTTCTGAAACTATTGAATAGTATTGACATCAGTAGTAGACATTATCAATCATTATTTGTTGGTTGATACAAAAAAAAGTCGAACTTTTTCGGTTGTTTTTAAACTTATTGATTTTATAATTCATCTTTTTCGATGATGGATCAATAGACAACAAAATATTTTCTTTATTTTCTACAAATAGTCATTTCGGTGACTAAGAAGCGAAAAGCTAAGATTATACAATCGAGTTTTTTATTTTATCATGCCATGTTTTTGATTTGAATAATAGTATTGAAATTATTCAAATAAGTATGAATATAGAAAAGATAAATGATTAAATATTCTATTGTTTTTTGTTTGTTTTTCTGATAGGTCAACGTCTACAATTTTCTCGTGAAACAGAATTAATTGAACATGTTCTGCAAGATATCGAACATCGTGTATCAACAAGTGGTAAAGCTGAAGTTATTTGTAAACAAGAAGATTTTCTTAATTCAATTCAAATGATTTATCGAAAACCAATGACAAGTTTTGTTACAACACCTGTTCCATGTGATTTTCCTAGGTAAAATTTTACTATTTCTAAAATTTAAATAAAAAAAAAGTATTTTTCTTTAGTGAAATCGTTCCACAATATGATTCAAGTACATTTGTTATAACAAATTTTTCCATTCTTCGACATAATGTTGATCCAATTTATAGTCAACCATTACATATAAATGGTTTAACATGGCGTTTAAAAGTTTATCCAGATGGTAATGGTACTGTACGTGGTACATATTTATCTGTTTTTCTTGAATTAACAAATGGTTTAAATGAACCATCTAAATATGAATATCGTGTTGAAATGATTCATCAATTAAGTAAAGATCCATCAAAAAATATTGTTCGAGAATTTGCATCAGATTTTGAAGTGGGAGAATGTTGGGGTTACAATAGATTTTTTTTACTTGATGCTTTAATAACCGAAGGATTTTTGGATACAGATAATGATATATTAATATTACGTTTTCAAGTACGTCCACCAACATATCATCAAAAATGTCGTGATCAACAATGGTATATAACAAATTTAGAAAATGAAAATCATTATTTACATAATGAAATAAAAATTTTACGTGAAAAAATTCATTTTCTTGTATCAAATAAACGACGTAGTTTACCATCATCAGAAAAAAATGATAATGAAGAAATACTATCAACTAGTCCAATAGCTGATAATAATCATCAAAGAGATAATACAGGAAAAATAAATATTGTTGATACAACAAGAAGAAATAATCATGAAGATGAAGATGATGATGATGATGAACATACATCTCTCGAAGTAATGAAAAAGAATTTATTTAATTTTTCTTTTTGTTTTTTGATTGAAAAAATTGTTTTATGATTTTTAGTCAGATCAATCGTATCAATTGGATTCAGAAGAATTAAGTTCAGATGATGATGACGATGATGATGATGATGATGAAAATGATATTGATGTTGAAAATGCGTAAGTTATAGTGTCTGATTTTCAAGCTTTTTCTTTAAGTTAAGATTTTACTGATTATTGAACAGTAGTACATAGTACTAGCAATGTGCAGGACTGATTTTTTAGCTCTTGATAAATCTAATCTAGTCTTGATCTAGAATGATATTTGGTTTTTAAAAATTTCTCACATCTCGTATCATTTTTTTTAGAGATCTTACTATCTGGTTTCTTGTCAATAAGTTTTTGAAATTAAAATTCCAACTGTCCATCAATGTATCGAATTACACTTCTAAGGGCAGAGATTTTCCAGCGCACTATAAAGATTAGCAAAATTGCTTTCAATCAACCTTAGAGTATTTCACTAAAATCTTTAGTTCTGGTTATGACAACTTTTTTTCTCGTAGTCGTGATCCCAAAAAATTCTCAAATTTTAATCTCGTGCATGTCTAAACAATATTAATGTTCTATGTAAAAAATTCAAATAGTTGTAGACTAACATCAGTTGAAACAATATGCAGAAGATCTTAGTTTTATTTTTATATTTGTCTTCCTAAACGATTCACATGATTTAAAAAAATAGATATAAATTTAGAAATCATTGTTCAAATGAACTAACGGAATTATTTTTGTTATGATTTAAATAAATGAATTAGTAATTAAATTCTCATCAAATATTAAATAAATTTTCTCTATTATAGATTAACTGAAAACGATGTTGAAGAAGGTCCAACATGTAATATAACAACCATTACTCTTAATGATCGATCAACACCTGTTGAACAAAACCTTCATCAACGTTATTCTCTTATTATTCCTTCGCCCACTGTCAGATCAAATGATATGACAACTGCTTCAACAACAATACAAACAGCATCAGCAGTTGCAAAACCTGATATAATAACAACAGATCCTGTAACATTAAGTGTGCTATCAGCTGATATTGATGATATTGTTCAACATGCATTTGATAGATGGAAAAACGATACTATGCCTCTAAACAATCAAACTAATATGAATGAAACATTACCATTTAATAGTGATGAAGATTTTTTACTTGCTGATCTTCTACAACGTAGTGAAAACGATCAACAAAATATACTTTTACGTTCAACAGGTAATTAGCAGGATCTCGCCTGAGAACAGTTTGTCAGAACTATAAGAAATTCATAATTCCTAAATACTTGCTTCTGTCGTCCTACTTTCTCAGCTACAGTACATCTGATAGAGTTGATATTTTTTTTTTCTTAAAGATACATCAATAATATATTATTTTTGTCATTGTTAGATAATCAACCAAATATTTCTTCTTTATTCCGTCCAATAACGCAAAATAATACCAATGAATCTGTTGCTGCTTCTGGTAAAGAATGCTTTTGGAATTTCTTTTATTTTTAAATGAAATCGTTTTCTTTTCTTTGAATTTAAATAGCTTCAGCTGTACTTCATACGTATCACCCACAGTATCAAACATCATTAAATAATTTAATGTTGCTCAATTCTCAAATTCAACGATCAGTATCTCCGTCTGATCTTAGTCCTCAACAAAGATCACGTAATCGTCATCATCATCATCGTCATTCAACAACACCTCGACGAACACAACAGACAACTCCAATCGTTATTAATGATGAACAACAAACATCGGAACATAATAAAAATAATGTATAAAAAAAAAAGAAAGTTCTTCTTTTAGGAATCTCATGACGATGAAAATCTTTCTTTCTTTTTTCTTCATTAACTTCTTCTTATCACATACATGTATAATTGTTTCTCTGTGATGTAACTGTCAATAGATTAGAATTGAGTGACTACGAGCATTTGTACGTGTCTATTAATTATTTATTCTTTTGTCAAATAAAAGCGAAAATGTTTTTCGTGTGTGTGAATTTAATGTTTAAAATGGAAAGGCCGAAATTTTGACCGGCGCTTAAACTGACCTCAGCAATCTGTATAAAAAGTCTTATGTCTTTAATTAGTTGCTATCTTCTGTTGCACTGGTCAAGTACGAGTTTGTATTAACACGTACTACTCGGAAAATGGCGTAGTGCTCAGTCGTATGAATTTAGATTATCCTATAGTTAGAGCGTCCTGCTCAGCGCTACAGACTGTAGTAACTAATGCACTCAAGAGACGTTTCTAAGATGTTCAGTTGTGGGAAATTTTTCGATCTTTTGTTGTAAAATAAATATTAAATTTTATCCCATATATTTTCTTGAGATCATGCTAGATGAAGCTGTGTTAAGGGTAATTCCTCTTGTCAATTGTTGAAAGCTTCTGATTTCAGTGACTATTTTTAAAAGAATCTATGATAAAGCTTCAGTTACACATCTTTCAGTCGAGATAGACGTTAGGGTGAACTCTTGCTGAAGAAAAATCGTGAATGTTAATCACTCTATGAGTAGATAAGTAAACACTTGTTCAATCCTTTTCTTTGTCGTTTCCTGGTTTATCTGCTCTCGATTGCTTTTGCTACATCGCAAACTAGTGTTGGATGTATCAGAGATGGAATCGAATCAAGTTTTTCAAAATTAGTATCTAATTATCGTTTTTCTAAAAAGTAACTGTTGTGTGTATTTTTTAAAACATTTATGAGAGTAATTCTGAACGATTAACTTGTTCTAAAAAGTGTTGCCTCCTTTCCATCACAGTTACTTATCAAGGTAACCACAAATTATCACTCATAGCACCAACATAAATGAGATTTTTTGTCTTATTTTTTTAAAATTCTACACTCAGCACTCGCACGTTCTTTCTCTATGCTTGATTAATGTTTTCTCTTACACAGTCGTTCATTTAAAACTAGTCTTTTATTTGCACAATTGTCAAGCACAGTTCAATTCAAGGAAAGAATAAATATCTAAAAAGGTGTACATAACGACATGATATTAGAATTCTTATCGACCATCACGAAGACGTTACCCAGCAACGACCTTTTTTGAAAATATTCAGTGTCGTTTTAAATAATAATATCAATCATCTAGAGAACATATTTTGACTTTGAAACTTATACATATAAAAGAAAAAATACTGATGTATCGATCCGTGAGTGTGTCATAAATATGGATTACTATTCGTTTATTTTTTCATTCACTTATCAAATATCGCGTCATTCTCGTATGTTTGTTTGATACAGATTCTTTCTACAATTAAACAAGTTGAATTTGTTTTTGTTTCAACATATAAATCATGTCACCAAAATCAAATAATAATGTTCGTTCTAATAATTCTAGTCAATGTTTTATGCCTCGTTGGGCTACAACTTGGGCTATAATTGGTTCACTTATATGTATATGGGATGCAACATATATTATAACACGTCCTCGAAGTATGGCAAATGGTGATTTATTTCATATATTTTTTCCTTATGCAAAATATATAACACTTGATCCACTTTATGGAAATTTACAAAATGCATTTGTTATTGCACAAAGTTGGGTGAATTATGTTGAAATTATTCTTACATTATTATCTGTTATACTTTATCATATTGCTGAACGACGTAATTTAGGTTGTCTTATTTTATTAATCGCTAGTGTTATGACATGGTCAAAAACAGTATTATATTTTATACATGATTATTTTGAACATTCATTACATCCTCAAAAATTACCTATTGAAATTGAAACATGGGAATATTTATTTCTATTTATTATACCAAGTCTTATTTGGATTGTGCTTCCATTCAGTTGTATGTGGAATATAGGTCGACAAATACTTAATTCATTAAATAATAAAGTGAAATCGACATAAATTGTTAGTCTTTCAAAAAACAAAGCAAATCTTTTTTTTCATCTTGTGATTTAAATCTATGAACTAGTTAGGTATAAGTAAACATTGTGTGATTGTTTTTTTCTAATATTTTTATTTTTTTTTAAGTATATTTTTGAGAAATAATAATAAAAAGTTAATAGAAAAAAAAATTTAGCTAATAAATTTAACAAATGTTTCTAAATGAACTAGAATATTAATATTTTTTATTCAATTACTGTCTATTATCTACAAAATCTTTGTTATTGAACTAATTGATTTATATCATTTGATAATGGGAAAAAAAGCTATAGCTACAGTTATTGATTTTCCTAGCATCATAATAACTAAATGAATAGGATAATTGTAACATGGCAAAGTCATAATATTTCATATTTGAATGAGCTTTGATTCAACATTATAATACTTAATAATAGCTACTCACAATGGACATGTTTGTGTTGCTATTTAATAACACTAAACATATACAGATTCAAATTAAAGGTTTCACAGCTAAATTAACAAATATAAAACGAAGACTGCTCTTGATGTGTATGAACCGAGATATTTGAATTTTACGGCATTTTCAGTACATGTCAAGTACTCAAAATTTGGTAAAAACCATTTTTTCCTTTGCAGAACTGAGAAATTTGGATCGATTTTCTTTTGTAGTTGAAAATAATGGTATCCTGAATATTTTTCTTGCTTTGAAACATACTTTTTCGTATTCAACTAGTGTTGTGAAACCAAATCGTGTCGAATCCAGATTTGAGATTATACCCTGTACACAATCCTGCAAATAATAACACTTCCATATTTCAAAATATCTTCACTTTTTCAAACTGCTATATCGTTTGGAATCAGTTTAGAACTTTACATTCGTCTAGAAGAGTATTTTTTTGAAAAAACTAGACAAGCTCAGAAAAAAACTTTGGATAGAGATTTCGTAGCCTCAAAAGTTGTCTATAGAATTTATTATTTAGTTATCAAAAGTACTGCTTCAATCCGAATTCTTTTTTCAAATAAAATCATGAAGTGAACGTCAATATTCTTCGATTATGGAATAACTTAATATACATCTAACATACAAAAATTGACTTGAAAGAATTTCACTATCCTGAGATATGCTCTGTACAACAAAATTATACATATATATTTAATAACTGTATCGTGTGTTTATTTAGCAAAAGAGAAAATAGATTATTTTGCCTAATAGACATACAACGATCAGAAAAAAAAAACAAATAGCTTTAAATAGTCGTAGCTGCTGTTGCTGCTGCACTTGGATTATGAATAATAGCTTCACCCAATGAATCAAGTAATTCCTTTCTATAATCATCAAAATCTCCATCAATTTCATTAATTTGTTTGCTTTCAATAACCCATAGTTGACAATTTGTTTCACGAATTAGTCTTTCATCATGTGAAACAATAATAACGCCACCTTTGAACTCATTGATTGCCTCAGCTAATGCATCAATTGATTCAATGTCAAGATTATTTGTTGGTTCATCAAGAATTAATACATCAGGTTCACGTGCTATTAAATCTGATAGTGCAACACGAGCTTTTTGTCCACCAGATAAATCTTTCATTTTAATTGTATGAGCACGACCAGGTAAACCAACACTTCCGAGAGATTTTCTTGTATCTTGTTCAGGCATATTAAATGATCGTTTTAAATGCTCAACAGCTGATAATTCTAAGTCGAATTGTTCACCAGCATGTTGATCAAAACGACCAATACGAAGACGATGATTTCGACGAATTTCACCACGAGTGGGTTCTAATACACTCATTAATAATTTTAAAAATGTACTCTTACCTAATTAAATAGAAAACAAAAAGAAATCAATATATAAATATTTTAGCATCTATTGTAAAAGTTCGCCGAAATTTCGGCTTTATTATCATCATAGATAGAAATATATAGAATAAACGTTTTTCGTATTCTGACTGAGAAAAGCTTTCTAATACTCATGCTATCCGAAAGAACACAGTCAGCAAAATCACAAAGTTTAAGCAGGCCCAAACACTCTTCTACTACAAATAAATGTTCGATCATACATCGATGACGACTTGAAATGAGAATCCATCATTATAAGTAAATAATCAGTAGCTAAGATTATTTGTCTATCAAACATTTTCAATAGTGAACTAACTCACAATGCAACATCGTTGATTTTGTAAAGCATTTCTGCCTCATCATTAATTTCTTTTCCAATAGAACACATCAGAAAGTCTACTTTCGAAGATCGTATTCCAATGAACATAAACATTCGTATATTTCTACAAATCCACTTTCTTTCTTTTTTTTAGGGAAGTTAGGATTTTTTTTCTAATCTGCATCATTCTTATGCGTTGCAAAATGTGGATTCGAAAAAAGAAACACCAACTGTATTTCATCTAAATATAGATGTTTTAAACAATATTGGGCGTACCCAAGAATCAAAATGTTTCGCTGCTAATACTGTAGGGTATGATAAGCTAACCCCGAAGAGCAAATAGCAGAGACTTGAGTCTTGAGATCTATTGTTTTGCTTTCGTAAGAATATAAGTAGGTAAAACATGAGAAAAATACTTTCGTATTAACTCATAAATAATTTCCTTATTGACATCGTATGAACAAAAGAATTTAAAAGTCTATGGATTACAATTTTTGAAAGAAAATATGTATCGTAAAAAGAAAATTTTTGAATCTTTATTAATAAAATAAACCTATTAAGTTTACATGAATTTGAGATATTCAATTCTTTTTTTTTTTACTCGATCTATTTTCTATGAATTGAATTTAGAATAAAATTTACATACCAACACCATTAGGTCCAACAATGGCAATTCGACTAGCCATATCAACACCAAAATTAAGTTTTTCAAAAAGTGTTTCACGATTTTCATAACGAAATGTAACATCATATGCACCTAATACAGGTGGATTTAATGGTGGTGGTGATGGAAAACGAAATCGAACTTGATATTCTTTTGGTTTTTGTAATAATTCTTTTCTATTAACTGTTTCATCATCAGCTGTATCTTGTTTTCGTCCACGATTTTTATCTTTTGATTTTTGTTCTTCATGTCTACCCACTTTCGCTGATGCTTGTTTTGATGAATGACCTTGTTTTTTTAATGCATCTAATGCACGTTCTTGTTTTTCATAATCTTTTAATTGTTGTGCACGTGTTTGTAAAAGCATTTTTTTAAATAATGAATAATTTCCTTTATAATAATATAATTTTTTTCCATCTAAATGTATTACATCGGTACATATATTATCTAAAAATGATTGATCATGTGATACAACTAATAAAGTTTTTTTCCATGATTGTAAATAATTATCAAGCCAAATAACAGCATTAAGATCAAGATGATTTGTTGGTTCATCAAGCATTAATAATGTTGGTTCCATATAAAGTGCACGAGCAAGTGATATACGCATACGCCAACCACCACTAAATGATTTTGATGGACGTGCTATCATTTTAGGTGTAAAACCAAGACCAGCTAGAATTCGTCGTGCTTTTGGTTCAGCTGCATCAGCATTAATTGCTTTTAATTCATCATAAACATGTCGTAATTTATTTTGTAGGTCAGTATCATTGGATGTTTCAAGTTGTGATTCAAGTCGTTTTTGTTCTTCAAGTAAACTTAAACGTTTTTTATCGGCCATTAATAATATTTCAAGAGCACTTTTTTCATCAGCTTGAACTTCTTGTTCACATATTAAAACATCAATATTTGGTGGTATAGCTAATTGACGATTAGCAATATGTTTAAGTAATGTTGTTTTACCCATACCATTTGGTCCAACAAGACCATATCGTCGACCATTAGCTATATTTAAAGTAGCATTAACAAATAAATCATTACCTCGAGCTGATATTGAAAAATTTTCGATTTTAATATCAATAGCAGTTTCAAATAATTGTGCTTGTCGATTTTGTGCTGCTGCTTGAGATACAGAAAATTGATCAGTTTCAGGTGCTTCTGCAATAAGTTTTTCAAAAGCTGCTTTTTTTTCATGTTTTTTAAGTTCTTTTCGTGTTAATGTTTTCTCCGTTGGTTTATCAATTGATTCTTCTTGTTTTGTTTCAATAATAGTTTCTGTTTCTTCATCTTTATCCATTGGAGTATCTTCTTCAGCAGCTACTAATTTTTTTAATTCTTTACTTGAAATTTTCTTTTTTGTTGTTGATGTTTCAGTAATAGGAACTAGAAAAAAAAGAAAAAACATAATTCTCATGGAGTAAGTTCTCGAACTGATCAATCAAGACTATGTGCCTTTAGCTTATTGATGCGAAGATACTGCATATTTGTGATATTTTTTAATCAATGTCGTGATACTTCTTAAATAGAGCTCGTCAATTCCGAGACTATACCGGCAATTGGAACATTTAGAAATGCCAGAAAAAATAGGTTTTACATTTTGACTTGAAACTTTGCATAGACAGATACTTTAACAAGAGTAGTTTATTGCGAAAGTTTTAAATCTTTTGATTTGCTTGTATTCTAGGTAAAGAATTGCGACTACTAGATCCAGTCATCGGATTTCTGCTTTGAAGTTTTTACCATTCTGGAGTTTTTCGGTCGGAATAGATTCATTTAAGCCGCCCCCCTAAAAAAAAAGTCAATTTTCATCAAAAATTCCGAAATTGAGATAAATACATGGGGAGATAGCCCGTCATCTGCTCTTTCATAAACGATAATTTGTTTTTCTCGTTANTTCTAAAGTCATAGTTTTTGGATTTTCACGAAATTTAACAAAACAGACCTTTGCTTCAAAATTTTGATACACAAACGTAACATTCTGAGACTCAATGAATCTCATCGATTAGTAACAATAGTTGTATTTCAATACATTCGCAGCAGTGAAATTCGTGCTATATATTTAAGGGACTAGCGGAATTTAGTTTTTTTGGGGGCTTATTTCGAATTTATCCAAAACAACTAAATTTATCTTTTAATAATATATCACATGTTCCAACTGTACAAGAAGAGTCAGCCTTCATCCAAAGATGGATCCGCTGCAGAGATATCCATTGCGCCTGAAAATCTTCCGCTGTCGCGTCGCGACAAAAGAAAAGAAAATCTCTCGCGATGCTGCTATACCGTGATGAATTTTCAAAGAGTTGCCGCTGTCACGATGGTACTTGAAAAAACTTTCGAATTTCACTGCTGCGAATGTATTGAAATACAACTATTGTTACTAATCGATGAGATTCATTGAGTCTCAGAATGTTACGTTTGTGTATCAAAATTTTGAAGCAAAGGTCTGTTTTGTTAAATTTCGTGAAAATCCAAAAACTATGACTTTAGAATCGAGAAAACCAACTTCGAAATTTTTAATAATCCGATAATTGTTTTTGTTCCTCATAGTCAATTACTTTTAGTCAAGTTTTATATAATTCTGTCGAAAATCAATATTAACGTTGTCTTCCTAAAATCAGATGATTGAGTGTCGGAGCGACATACCAAACTAATAAGGCAGCTCAATATACTCGATTCGAAGCATAGGTGCTTCAAAACCTAAAATGAAGTTTAAAACCCAAACTTTTTGAGATTTGTGTATGGTACATGCATATTTTTAATGGTTCCATCCGAAAACAACATCAACATTTCTAGAAGAAAAAAATATCTGCGACGTATTTCATTTCATGCTTTATTTTTATTTTTTTATTGTATTTACAACCAAATTTTCAATCTATCACCATCAGTGATTGTAATGCGAGCAGCAGATGATATTTTCATTTTTAAAACATCACAAACATATTTCTGCTTATCTTTAGACAAAGCAACAAGTCTTGACAATGATGTTTCACATTTGTTAAGATACAGAAATGTTAAATGAGGTGAAAGATGTGCAACAAAAGAAAGTACAAGTGAAACAAGAGGATCCAATGATGTCAAACGAATACGACCACGAGGTAAACTACCAGATGTGCTTAGCTGACGTAGACAAGGAAATAGATGAGCAATCACCGAAGGATCTAGTAGCACCATTACATCGACATCAACATCATCATGCCAATCTCGTCCGAATGATAACAATAAGTGAAGACGTTTGACAGTAGGATATTTTCTAATATTATTTTTGGCTACATTGAGCACATCCGACCAATGAGCAGTCAAACTTGTGAGATAACAAGCACTTTGCAAGATATTATCAAGAATTCCAACACGATGAGAAGGCAATAGATATTGATTGGTGAATTGGAGAGTGACATCATGCATTTTATGCCATCGAGGAAAGATGCTTGGCTTTTGTTGAAGATGAGCCAAGATTGAACCCTATTAAGATATATTTATATATCAATAGTTTGAAACAGTAAAATCATCAACAATACAATGAAAAGCAAAACAAACTATACTTATGTTCCAACTATAGTTTGAAAATTTCTTGGATAACTGAATCGTTATAATCAAGTAGTGGTGAAAGATATCGCATGTAGAGACATATGAGATTAGGACCAGAACCAGTTTCAAATAATCTATTCCTATGATATGATCTTTTTCGAAAAAAATTGAATTCTCCACTTGACAAAAAAACTTGATTTTTCTTGTTTCCACTTGGACAATTGTCTTATAAATTTCGAAGAAATGAACTTTCTACGACGTTTTTCTCAAACATGTTCATCTTTCAAGAAATGACTAGAACCCGAATTGACAAATGATGACTTTATACATCTCTGGTTGCATGATAATCTAAACTATTATTGATAAATAACAGACTAGTGAACATTCGGAACACACCTATCTTTTTTCGTTCATATTTCCAGTAATTTTGTGCAAAGTTAAAAATCTCAGATGTTTTTTTTTCTCTAAGACTCTGCTGAAGATTCTATCTTTTGAAGTTAACTGACAATTTTGAACTTTTGAAAAATCACATTTCTAAATATTTGTACACAAACATGACATAGAATTGATTAGTTCTGAAATGATTTGTTCTTTCTCCTGATAAACTTACAGGATTTAAACTAATGGACCATCTAAGTGAATTGACATTAACGAGAGTATTCAAACATGTATATATATCATTTGTAGTAGCTTTGGTACTGCTCATTTCATCTTCATTTTCTAAAGTCCAATAGATACGTCTTGGTGGTACACCTTGAAAAGGCCAACGAAGATGACGTACACTCGTTTGGTCGTTAAGTCGTCGTCGTTGACAAGAGTACCATGAGATGGGATAACTCATGTACAAGACGTCAATTGGTTTAGAATTTCGGTTATCAATGTACTCTTCTGTTTGATGATGCATAAGAGGCCATGGCCATGGCCAAATGTCATCAACAACGTTAAATACATCAAGTGCATGTTTGCAAAAAGTATCATCGGATACAATGTAGAGAATAAGCTGCAAACGACATAATTGAGAAGATAAACGATTGATTAGTAAATTTTTAAAGTCAATTAGATGATCAAGACTAGTGATGTTATCCTTATCATCTACTCGTACACGAACCAATGAAAGTGTATCAAGTTTGAAAGATAATGACGATACANTTTAATTCTTCCTAGTTCAGATTAAAATTTTGAAGTTAACTAGTTGACATTGAAATGATTGTGAAGTGAACTAGTTGACTTCAAAATTTTAATCTGAACTAGGAAGAATTAAAATTTCAATCTGTCCTAGTTCGATTTAAAACTGAACTAGATTTTAATCTGTCCTACGACACATATTTCTGCTTATCTTTAGACAAAGCAACAAGTCTTGATAATGATGTTTCACATTTGTTAAGATGCAGAAATGTTAAATGAGGCGAAAGATGTGCAATTACAGAAAGTACGAGTGAAACAAGAGGATCCAATGATATCAAACGAATACGACCACGAGGTAAACCACCAGATGTGCTTAGCTGACATAGACAAGCAAATAGATGAGCAATCACTGAAGGATCTAGTAGCACCATTACATCGACATCAATATCATCGTGCCAGTCTAGTCCGAATGATAACAATAAGTGAAGACGTTTGACAGTAGGATATTTTCTAATATTATTCTTGGCTACATTGAGCACATACGACCAATGAGCAGTCAAACTTGTGAGATAACAAGCACTTTGCAAGATATTACCAAGAATTCCAACACGATGAGAAGGCAATAGATATTGATTGGTGAATTGGGGAGTGACATCATGCATTTTATGCCATCGAGGAAAGATGCTTGGCTTTTGTTGAAGATGAGCCAAGATTGGACCCTATTAAGATATATTTATATATCAATAGTTTGAAACAGTAAAATCATCAACAATACAATGAAAAGCAAAACAAAATATACTTATGTTCCAACTATAGTTTGAAAATTTCTTGGATAATTGAATCGTTATAATCAAGTAGTGGTAAAAGATATCGTATGTAGAGACACATGAGATTAGAACCAGAACCAGTTTCAAATAATCTACTCCTATGATATGATCTTTTTCGAAAAAAAAAATTGAATTATCCACTTGACAAAAAAAACTTGATTTTTCTTGTTTCCACTCGGACAATTGTCTTATAAATTTCGAAGAAATGAACTTCCTACGATGTTTTTTTCAAATATGTTCATCTTTCAAGAAATGACCAGGACCAGAATTGACAAATGATGACTTTATACATCTCTAGTCGCATGATAATCTAAACTATTATTGATAAATAGCAGACTAGTGAACATTCGGAACATACCTATCTTTTTTCGTTCATATTTCAAGTAATTTCGGGCAAAGTTAAAATCTAAGACGTTTTTTTTCTCTAAGACTCTGTTGGAGATTCTATCTCTTGAAGTTAACTGACAATTTTGAACTTGTGAAAAATCACATTTCTAAATATTTGTACACAAACATGACATAGAATTGATTAATTCTGAAATGATTTGTTGTTTCTCTTGATAAACTTACAGGATTTAAACTAATGAACAAAATAAGCGAATTGACATTAACGATAGTATTCAAACATATATATATATATCATTTGTAGTTGCTTTGGTACTGCTCATTTCATCTTTTTTTTCTAAAGCCCAACAGATGCGTCTTGGTGGTACATCATGGAATGGTCAACGAAGATGGCGTACACTATTTTGGCCGTTAAGTTGTCGTCGTTGACAAGAGTACCACAGGAGATGGGATAAGTCATGTACAAGACATCAATTGGTTTAGAATTTTGATTATCAATGTATTCTTCTGTTTGATGATGCATACGAGGCCATGGCCATGGACAAGTATCATCAACAACGTTAAATACATCAAGTGCATGTTTGCAAAAAGTATCATCGGATACAATGTAGAGAATAAGCTGCAAACGACATAATTGAGCAGATAAACGATTGATTAGTAAATTTTTAAAGTCAACAAGATGATGAAGACTAGTGATGTTATCATTATCATCTACTCGTACATGAACCAATGAAAGTGTATCGAGTTTGAAAGATAATGACGGTACATAACGAAGAAGATCACGTACATTATTTAATGTAACATCACATAAACGAAGTGATCGTAATTTGAAAAGATTAACTGAATGAAGTCGATCATCATCATCGTTTTCTTGTTTATTATGTGGATGTCGTTGCTCGATTGTAGCATCGAGTTCTTCAAGTAATGGTAAACAACCATCTTGTATAAGCGTAATTAAATTTGACCATCGTTGCACTAATAATGTCAAACATACAGTATTAGCAAGACATATTCCATGATCATCTCCGAGACGGAAATGTAAAATGCTCAACTTTCTGCCAAAATAGGGAGAAGCATCTATACGAAAATATGAAAACATATCATATAGAATTAAAATTTGTCTTACTGTTAATAACATTGAATCGCATAGTATGGAATGAAATATTGTTTTTGAGTATTTTTTCAAGTGTATTCGAATAGTAATTACTTTCATGAAGGCCGGATTCGATGATCAGTTCGTGTAATAATGATGACTCTTTGAATATATTTATAAGGTGACTGAATGGAAAAAATGAAATAACATTTTCGCAGAGTATTAGTCGACGTACATGGAGACAGAGAGGAAGAGAATACTAGATTTTGCTACTAGACGTACAGTGGCGAATGTATCACGCAAGATGATCTTGCTTACGTAAGGAGCTAAACGTGGATACACATGTTCAACACAATTCATAAAGATTCCATGTGCCCAGCTTTCATCAAGATCGAACTGATGAAGACCTAGTAAAAGTGCACGTTCGATCATACGATTCAAACGAATGTTTAGATTAAACCAACTGACGACAAGATCAAATGTTGACATATAAACGAACAGTTCGAGCCATAGTTCAACTGGCCATTCTTCGATCAACATGTCTTCATCTGATCTATGTATGTGTGTCAATATATATCGACATTGAATGTGTTCGCACGTCCGCCGATGCTCATAGAATGGTTGACAATAAAAATGTTGAAAGCGAAAAATATCGAAGAGGAAAAATGTCGAAGAAGAGAAGGGAAATATGTCGTACAGAAAAAACGCCGAAAAAAAGAATATCGACGCGAAAAAATAGTCGAAAAGTATTTTAAAGATTCTGACTAGCGAAGGACATTCTGTATTGTATGGGTTAATACTAACATTCTAACAGAGATCAAACATAAGTCAAAAGTTAAAAAGAAAAAAAAATCATAAAGTTTCATTTTTTCGTTGAGTAACTATAAATGATAAACTATCTAGGTATTCCATAGCATTTATAGCACCATAATAATATCGTTTATCAAAATCGCTAATACAACGTTGAATTGGAATTGTTTTGGTTTGTTTCGTTCTTACTCCTAAACCTACATTAAATTGAATACGCATATTTTGACCATTCAAATATGTATGAATTTTTGCTGAACATTCATCAAATGTACATTCCCAATATTTAGTAGTAGCTGTGGTTGAATTCAATTTGAAAACATGTTCATAGACTATGAGCAAAGGTTTTCTTTTTTGTGATTGAATAAATGAAATATCTGGCAATTTCGATTGAGTTATATCTGATGATGACCCAGGTCAAAAGGAACGGTCCGTAAACGCCAGTAAAGTGATAAAAAACGGTGTCATTACGGGGTTCCGACTTTTTTCGTATACCGATATCAGTTAACGTCGTACATACAGATATATTTCGGACCGTTTACAAGGCCGTTTTCTTGGCACCATTTACGGCCCCGTAACGGACACCGTTTTCGGGCCGCTTTTAACAGTTTTTTTTTGTTCCAAAATTTAGTTAATAAGCTAATTAATTATCGAGTATTCGGATAGTCAATCTTCATTTTGTGCTTCATAAATAAAAAATTGAATGAAACTGAGCTAATAATTGTTATACTATAGAATATGCGATTCTAAAATGGCATTNTTGTTTCAGCAACGTCTTATAGGACTTGAAAAACACGGTTTTTAGTTTTCTGGAAATCTTTCGACTGTGACTCACTCATGAAACTCTGCTGTAGAGTGCATTAAATAGGAAACTTCATTGGCTTTCAGAATCACTATTTGGATTTGAGCTAGCTATTTAGCATCGTAGAAAAAAATCAAAAATAAAGTGTTCTTATATTTTTGTCCAGTACTGCATGGTCCAATCAATTAATTCATAGATGAATTTTTTTTCTTTCGTTTATCTGATATTGTCATAATCGCTATTCTGTATTCTTGTTCGTACTTTATCGCGTGTTCAGAGAAAGAAAAGAAAATGCTTGCTACTCTCAAAATTTATTAAATATTATTCACAATTTGTTTTTTTTGTTTTTGTTTTATGATTTCATTCGGTTATTTTTATGCAATTACAATAGAAGGAGACAAAAAAGAAAAGAATTATTGATGATATATTCTTTAGATTGATATTTATATGTTTATTAATGAAAAGAAATCGGTTATAATTCTTTGAAATTTAATTAATAAAGAAAAAAAAAGGATTTATATTATTAACATCAAAATACATGTTATAGAGGAAATTAAAATTTTAATGGCCTCCTACCGAAATAACAATAGATACACTATTATCTCTTTCTTCTTACGACAACTTAAAATAAACAATATCATGATATCGTGCTATATATTCGAGAGACTAGCGGAATTTAATTTTTTTTGACTTATTTAGAACTTATCCAAAACAACTAAATTCATCTTTTAATAATATATAACATGTTCCAATTGTATCAGAAGAGTCAGCCTTCATCCAAAGATAGGTCTACCGCAGAGATGTCCATGGCGGCTGAAAATCTTCCGCTGCCGTGATGGTACTGAACAAAAGTTTCAAATTTCATTATTGTGAGTATATAGAAATATAACTGTTATTATTAATTGATGAGATTCATTGAGTCTCAGAGTGTTACATTTGTGTATGAAATTTTTGAAGTAAATGTTTATTTTATTAAATTTCGTTAAAGTTCAAAAAATTGTGACTCTAGAGTCCAGAAAATCAACTTCAAATTTTTAATAATCCAATAATTGTCTTCGTTCCTCAGAGTCGATTACTTTTAGTCAAGTTTTATATAATTCTGTCGGAAATCAATATTAATGTGGTCTTCCTAAAATTAGATGATTGAGGATCGGAACGACCTAGCAAATTAATAAGGCAGCCCAATATATATACTCGATTCGAAGCATAGGCACCTGAACATCTAAAATGAAGTTCAAAAGCCAAATCCTTTGAGATTTGAGTTTGGTGCATGCCTATTCTTTAATGGTTTCATCCGAAAACAACATCAGCATTTCTAGAAGGAAAAAAAAGAACATTTGCAACGAATTTCATCTAATTTTTTTTTTATTTTTATTGTTTTCACAACCAAATTCTCAATCTATCACCATCAGTAATTGTAATGTAAGCAGCAGATGATATTTTCATTTTTAAAACATCACAAACATATTTCTGTTTATCTTTAGACAAAGCAACAAGTCTTGACAATGATGTTTCACATTTGTTAAGATACAGAAATGTTAAATGAGGTGAAAGATGTGCAATTAAAGAAAGTACGAGTGAAACAAGAGGATCCAATGATGTCAAACGAATACGACCACGAGGTAAATCACCAGATGTGCTTAGTTGACGTAGACAGGGAAATAGTTGAGCAATCATCAAAGGATCTAGTAGCACCATTACATCGACATCAACATCATCATGCCAATCTCGTCCGAATGATAACATTAAGTGAAGACATTTGACAGTAGGATAAGTTCTAATATTGTTCTTGGCTACATTGAGCACATCCGACCAATGAGCAGTTAAACTTGTGAGATAACAAGCACTTTGCAAGAGATTATCAAGAATTCCAACACGATGAGAAGGCAATAGATATTGATTGGTGAATATAAGAGTAACATCATGCATTTTATGCCATGGAGGAAAGATGCTTGGCTTTTGTTGAAGATAAGCCAAGATTGGATCCTATTAAGATATATTTATATACCAATAGTTTGAAATAGTAAAATCATCAACAATACAATGAAAAACAAAAAACAAAACTTATGTTCCAACTATGGTTTAAAAATTTCTTGAATAATTGAATAGCTTTAATTATGTAGTAGTAAAAGATATTGCATGCAGAGACATACGATATTAGGGCTAGGAACCGTTTCAAATAATCTACTCCTATGATATGATGTTTTTCGAAAAAAATTGAATTCTCCACTGAACCAAAAAAAAAACTCGACGTTTCTAGTTTCTGCTCAGACCATTGTCTTACAAATTTCGAAAAAGTGAACGTCCTACGATTTTTTTTCAAACATATTCATCTTTCAAGAAATGATCAGCATCCGAATTGACAAATGATAACTTTGTGCATCTCTAGTCGCATGATAATTTAAACTATTATTGATAAATCGTAGATCAATGAACATTTGGAACACACCTTTCTTTTATCGTTCATATTTCCAGCAATTTTGGTACAAGTCAAAATCTAAGACTTTTTTTCTAAGACTCTGCTGAAGATTCTATCTCTTGAAGTTAACTGATAATTTTGAACTCGTGAAAAATTACATTTCTAAATATTTGAACCACAAACATGGCATAGAATTGATTAATTCTGAAATGATTTGTTGTTTCTCTTGATAAACTTACAGAATTTAATCTAATGACACAAATAAGTGAATTGACATTGACGAGAGTATTCAAACATGTATATATATCATTTATAGTTGCTTTGGTACTGCTCATTTCATCTTCATTTCCTAAAGTCCAAAAGATACGTCTTGGTGGTACACCATGGAAAGGCCAACGAAGATTACGTACATTCTTTTGGTCGTTAAATTGTTGTTGACAGTAATACCGTGAGATGGGATAACTCATATATAAGACGTCAATTGGTGTGAAATCTTGGTTATCAATATATTCTTCTCTTTTATGATGCATAAGAGGCCATGGCCAAGTGTCATCAACGACATTAAATACATCCAATGCACGATTGCAAAAAGTATCATCGGATACAACGTAGAGAATAAGTTGCAAACGACATAATTGAGAAGATAGACGATTGATTAGTAAATTTTTAAAGTCAACAAGATGATGAAGACTAGTGATGCTGTCATTGTCATGTACCCGTACACGAACCAATGAAAGTCTATCGAGTTTGAAAGATAACGATGGTACATGACGAAGAAGATCACGTACATTATTTAATGTAGCATCACATAAGCGAAGTGATCGTAATTTGAAAAGATTAACTGAATGAAGTCGATCATCATCATTTTCTTGTTTATCATATGGAGATCGTTGCTCGATTGTAACATTAAGTTCTTCAAGTAATGGTAAACGACCATCTTGTATAAGCATAATTAAATTTGACCATCGTTGCACTAATAATGTCAAACATACAGTATTAGCAAGACATATTCCATGACCATCTCCGAGATGAAAACGTAAAATGTTAAAATCTATGCGGCATACGGAGAAATATCTATACAAAAATATGAAAACATATCATATAGAATTTAAGTTTATGCCTTACTGTCGATAACATTAAGTTGCATAGTATGGAATGAAATATTGTTTTTGAGTATTTTTTCAAGTGTACCCGGATAGTAATTAACTCCATGAAGACCGAATTCGATGATCAGTTCGTGTAATAATGATGACTCTTTGAATATATTTATAAGGTGACTGAATGGAAAAAATGATATAACATTTTCACAGAGTATTAGTCGACGTACATTGAGGCAGAGAGGACGAAAATAACTAGATTTTGCTACTAGACGTTCTGTAGCGAATGTATCACGCAAGATGATCTTTCTTACGTAAGGAGCCAAACGTGGATATACATATTCAACACAATTCATAAAGGTTCCATGTGTCCAACTTTCATCAAGATCGAACTGATGAAGACCTAGTGAAAGTGCGTGTTCAATCAGACGATTCAAACGAATGTTCAGGTCAAACCAGCTAACGACAAGATCAAATGTTGACATATAAACAAACAATTCGAGCCATAATTCAACTGACCATTCTTCGATGAGCATGACTTCATTTGATCTATGTATGTGTGTCGATATGTATATATATATATATGTATATAGGCATTGAATGTGTTCGCACGTCCGTCGATGCTCATGCAATGGTTGACCGTAAAAATGTCGAAAGGGAAAAATATCGAAGAAGAAAAATGTCGAAAAAGAGAAGGAAAAAATGTCGAACAGGAAAAACATCGAAAAAAAGAATATTGATACGAAAAAATAGTTGAAAAGTATTGTAAAAGATTCTGCCCAGTGAAGGACATTCTTCATTGTATGGGTTAATACTAATATTCTAACAGAGATCAAACATAAGTCAAAAGTTAAAAAGGAAAAAAATTCATAAAGTTTCATTTTTTTTTCGTTGAGAAACTGTAAATGATAAACTATCTAGATATTGCATAACATTTATAGCACCATAATACTATCGTTTATCAAGATTGCCAATACAAGACGTTGAAGTAAAATTGTTTTCATTTGTTTTGTTCTTACTCTTAAAGCTGCATTAAATTAAATACACATATTTTGACCATAACCATACAAATATGTATAAATCCTTGCTGAACATTCATAAAATGTACATTCCCAATATTTAGTAGTAGCTATGGTTGAATTGAATTTGGAAACATGTTCATAGACTATAAGCAAAGGTTTTTTTTTGTGAATGAATAAATGAAATATCTAGCGATTTTAGTTGAGTTATATCTGTTGATGAAGCAGTTGCAGCTATAACAATAGAATTTTACTTATTTAATAATTCTACGTCCCTCTTTTTAGTTAAGCTATGTGAGGTATTACTCATCATCATTAACACTGGTTATAAATCTAGATTAGTAGAATTAGAAGAAAGGCAGCAATGAACTATAAGCACTTACAACCAGCATTTACTAAAGACACCACTTTTTTCGAAATTTTTCTGTTTCGATGTTTTATCATTTCAAATTTTTTTTTCGACATTTTTTCAGCACACTCATGCAATTGCAATATAGTCAGCATATCAATAACTCATAGCGCCATAACCGTCGTATAGAGAGAGGGTGAGAAAGAGGAAACTGAAATAAACGATGATGTCACCATTGGTAACTTCGCAGAACAGAAAGTGAGCATAATTAAGAATATCAATGATTTGCGATCAAAAACAAATTTATTCACCCAATGTATATTTGTCTCTTTTGATAGCAGTCAGTGTTTTCTTTGGCCGCCAGATTGACTATACATTTCTAGCTCGGTTAGCTTCTCTTGACAATGACTTATATATATATTTACTTGATTATTTTTAACTTACTTCATTCGATAAAATCGATCTTGGAAGAGAGTCGCTGATGTTTACGTGAGTATTGATAGAACACGAAAAAAACCCTGATACAAATATAAGGCTTAAACTTAAGAGGAAACTCTTTTAATAGATTAAAATCTGTTGCACTTATAGTTTGCACAGAAATCAGACTCGATGGAGCTAGAAAAATCTACAAAAGGATTTGTACTCAGATTATTCTTCTTGATTGAGGACAAGTTTTCTGAACTTTCAGTCTTATTGTAACTAGTAGATTTTGAAAAAACTCAAATGACTGAATTTAGATCTGAAACTGTATTCATACATATGTGAATATATAGCTCTCAGGACTAGCAAGAGCATTCCAAAAGTTTTCGTTCAAATATAGACGTTTTTTCCCGAGATACTAACTTTTTGAGAAAAGGTTTTTTTGTTTATCATCTTGTAAAATAAGAGTTATGTTTGAAAATGTATTAATTTCCAAAAATAAACATTCGTTTTGAGTGAAAATTTTACAGCCCTGTAATGATCATGTGACCTATATACAGTAGCGGTCAAAACTATAAGAACACCTCGTGTCTGCATACGACCAGCCCCTGACTGCGGTCATTGAAACTTCTTTTAAATAGCCGCTATATACATTTTATAGAACAGACTTTCCTCTTCAAGAATATTTGTTTCATCTTTATTATCTCGTTTAAAACTATAATAAAAAAAAAAAGTCTTTTCGTTTGTCTAGAATTATAAACTCAAATCATTATTTGAATTCTTTTTTAGCAGTTACGATGGAGGAAAAAAATTGAAAATAAATCTGCTTGATCAATTTTGGCACTTACTATATACTTGAACTGACTTTATATCAATATGTTTCTTTTTATATATTGTTCAGGTTTTCTAAGAGGTTATCAATTAAAAATGATGAATATCTGAAGTTTCACGAGAGTGATTCAATTGAATCTTTTGAAAGCAGAAAAGTTTCGTGTGATGCTTGCTAAATTAAATTGAAGAGAGATAAAGAGTTGTTAGTACTCCGTACTTTGATAGATATGACGATACAGTTCTTTAAAAGATACACTTAAAGAGTATAACATACGCTGCTTTCTTCTTTTGAATTCAAGATAATTATACTGACGTCTATTCTCAAAAGAAAAACTTCTTATTTTTTTTTTAGACATCCGAATTTTTCCTAACTCAATTCTTCGTGGGCAAATTCCAACATCTGGTATTCTTTTAGTACCACCATCGAGTACTAAATCAGCATGAAAACATAGATTACATTCAACTAAAACAGTTTGTATTATTAATTATTTTTTTTCCTACTTATTTAAATTTTTTTTTGTTATTTTTAGCTTCGTGAACAATCAATGAGATGTAAACAATAAGATGAAGATTTTAATGATAAAAAATTTAATTTAACAATTTATGATGCAGTTGATGAAAAAAAAGCAGATGATAATCTTATAAATATTGATCGGTAAAATATCTGTTAAAAAAAAAATATTATTTTAGACCATCATGAATTGATTGTGATTCAAGTGCTTTACCTGAATCAAATTATGTTGATCAACATATTTATTCAGATCAATATCATCCTTATATGTATTCAAGTTCATCCGTTCATTCTCATTATAATAATAATAATAATCATCATCATCGAATAGATAATAATTCTCGACATACAAATAATGTACCAACAAATGATGATATTGATTCTCAATCACGCCATTCAGATGATTATTCGGATTGATGAAATGATAATCGTAATCGAAAAGAAAAACCAACAACAAAAGA